CCCCCCCCCCCCCCCCCCGCTACCTTTTAGTGTGTCCCCAATTTCAGAACTATAACAAACTGTGCCACAGGCGTATAAATACTGGCAACCTCCGATCGACGGAGAGGAGGCCGAGGGTGCATATTATTAAGCTGTGGAGGTGACAACGAATGCGAACACACTCAGAAAACTTGAAGCTGGACGGACGTCGTCCTAACTTTAATTAACAGACATGAAACGATTTATGAAAATGGCTGCAATAAATACATTCAAAACCATTTCCTATAATTTTTCTTAAGCCCCTTTCAAAATGGTTGTCAGTGCTCATTTGTTACCAATTTGTCTTCGTACTAGGCAAATCGCCATTTTGCGGATTATCCTAAAAAATTTCAATGTTTTTTCGATTTCTCCGGACAGTTACTGGGATGGTAGGCTAGAACATCGGACAGACCAAGGTCTCCTCATCTTACATTCCTCTGCGTTTATCATTTATAGTCATTGTCACTTCCAACTTGGCACTACGTAACCTAGACAGTCGATACAGCACTATTAAACTAAGAAAGAAGCAACAAGATGTCCGTAAGCAATCATGTCTGAGTCAGCCACTGTGACGACATAAAACGGCACCTGAAGATAACTGTAAGCGGACCGGGACTGCAACCAGCGTCTTAAGAGACGGAACATTTCGTTCGTATACGCCAACTGACTCCGCGCACCTCGATGGCTACAAACCAGAACTAAAACATTGAAACAATTTGCAAAGTTGTCCTAAGTCCCGATAGTTTACAGTCTCAGCTATCGACATTATTAGGCACCTAACATAGAGGCGGGACTAGTCATGACCTACTGCAATCAGCACTTCAGCTCTTGCCTCGAGAGATGGAAAAACACAGTCGGTCTTAAAACACTACCTGCTAATTATCAGCCTACAGACTATTCTGACAAACGGGAAAAGGGAGGGAGGCACCCGATCCGAATTTCCGCCCACTTTTTAACGATATTCATCAGTCACACAAGGCTAATGTTGCTACAGTATGTGATAATTCTTTCCAGTTTACCGCATTCCACATAAGCCCAGAGATTTAAACTCCAGTTATTTTTATCATATAAATGACTGGAGTTTAAATCTCTGAGCTTATGTGGAATGCGGTGAACTGGAAAGAATTATCAGATACTGTAGCAACATTAGCCTTGTGTGACTGATGAAAATCGTAAAAACACAAAATTATGGGTCTATTATAAGTCTGTTCTTAGTCGTTCGTGGTTATCAGGGCGCTGATCCGCGTGATCACAGACATTGGCCTCTGATATCAATGGCGCATCGATATGTAGTAGTTACGACTTTGGGGCTATGTTCAGCGGTATGCTGCCAGTTTGTTAACAAGGGGCAAGCACGCCACATTTTGAAGCACAGTAATTATTCGTGCACGTGATACACAAGCTATAGCTTCAGTATAGTGTTGCGGGCAACGTGAAGGTGTCCTCCACAATTGGCATTTGGAAGTTGGGACGAGCAGGAAGTATCAATATATGAATGCATCGATGTTTTTATACTATTATGTCGCCTGTATGAATATTTTCTGTGCCGATAACAAACGACTCTGATAATTTGCCTGAAATTATGACGAAGCTCGTGCTAGCACCTCCACGCCCCCCTTCAACACACCCCCTAGTTATACTCCATATTTTTCATAATGTTGACCAGAGATGATTTAACCGGCGAATAGAACGAACATGCCCGTAACATAGTCTTCTGTCCCTCAGACTGAATCAAGGTAGACAACGCGGTACATCGTGCTAAAAAATTAAAAATTCCCTTCGCTTGATGTGGGCCTATGACGGAAGTGGAGAGACTCAACACACACACACACACACACAGTATGTTCATGGATGTTGGAGCCAACTTATTTTTTATTTTGTTCTTTGGAGACCCCACTATGAAAACAGAGGAAGTGGGTAGAGTGGTTGAGACCGCCTATACGTGATGGAATATTACAGAAGTCCGCAACGGGACTTCGCCTAGTACTGGCGGTCAGCAACCTTCATGAACAGGGTAATAAGAACACAGCGTGTCCTTTTCTGGCTCAGCCACACACCGAATACGAACTTTAATCTGTAATTATAAGCACAACACTTCATTTAGACTGACATTCTGGGATAAAATAATGAAATAGAGGCTGCTTATCAGATCGGTGCAGCCGAGTGGTCAGCACGTGTTTAGTATTTGGAAGATCGTGGAATAAATTTCTGACCAGGATACCTGCTATCCTGATTTGTTTGTGAAATAACACGTTAATTTAGGCCACGACTGCTTCCATGCATATACTTTCCAATTAATTATTTGTCATTTTACCTTTCGACTGACAACGACGTTAAATAGACCACATCAGTACCACTTACTAACACATATTTTTCAATTCATTCATAGTCATCCTATCAATCGACATGTGTAGTGGAAAAAAGCGTCGCTTAAGAAAATTCCGCAGAAATTAACTTAAATTAGTCTACATGTGCAGGGAGCCGACTTAAACACTGGACCAGATCTTCAAGTCATGACTGCAGCAAGTATTTAATGTCTGTTTATCACATGGTTTTTCCTAAGAAAACAGTGTCCATTCGAAGATACAATATTATTTACAGAGTATAGAAAGAATATGACCGGAAAATTCTTTGGCACAAGTATAAAGTAAAGTAAACGTAACGGAGGCCGGTAAAGTTTTGTAAAGTTTACAATTTATATTCCTATAGGTGTTTTGTTAGTGGAAACTGCAATGGGCAGAATGGTAGACGGAATTCTGCTTCCAGGTTTCTTCAAAGCAAGTAATGTACGTAGTTTATCAACGTTTTACCACTACAATTGTGCGTTCAAGGGTCTAGAAGTATTAAGTATTACAACTTTTGAAATCACCAGCATTTACACGTGTTTATAATAAGTGAAATTACAAACATTCGTCAACACAATTATCAGTAGTCGACATAGACAATTGTTACTTTACATTATATTACGACCTTGTCGATATAAACTATATGTTTCTTCAAGGTTTATTTACTATGCAAAAGTTCCGAACCGAATGCTAAGTTATGCTAGATTTGTTTCCGTACTAGTGGACGAAATACCGCCGACATAATTTGGGTTAAGTTAATATTAGTTTAG